CTTTGGTCCGGGGCACCACTATGGAAACCAGAAATGGCCCGCACTGCACGAGGGCTTCGGGTTCAGGCGCTCTGGAAAATGGCCATTTTTCCGACATCTTTTGACATTCCCGAGTCCTTATTCGAGTCAACCCGAAAACCGGTGCTCTAAACCCTAGAATGCTAAGCCCCTTGCTCTGAACCTCCGTCCCACTCCCCACACCAAAACTAACCCCTAAACCCTCAAATCCAACTCCCTATAACCCTACGCCCTAAACCCCTAAACTCCAAACTCCGACTCCCCAGAACCCTACGCCCTAAACCCCTAGACCCCTAAACTCTCTAAACCCGTAACCCTAAACCCTAAACCCTAAAACCCTAAACCCCCCTAACTTATACCAAGCCGCTTGAACTGGATGGTCGACGACACGGTGCGGTTCACCTGCGCCGCCACCGTCACGCTGCGCGCTTCCAGGGGAGGCAGGCCAAGGCCCTGCGCCTGCGTTGGGTTTGGGGTTTAGGGTCCAGGGGTTTTGGAGTATGGGGTGTAGGGGTTTGGCGTCTAGGGTGTGGGGGTTTAGGGTTTGGGGGTTTAGGGCTTAGGAGTTTCGGGTTTAGGGTGTCCGGTGCAGGAGCCATATTCATTATAACAGGGTTTTGGGAGTTTTGGGCTACATCATACTATGATATTTAACAAGGAACCCCCCAAAAAAATAGTCTTACGAATTATTCAGGCTTCTGTAGCAGGGTTTGGGGTTTAGGGTATAGGGTTTAGGGTCTAGGGCTTGGACCCTGGGGTTCAGAGTTTCGGGTTGACGTCTTTGAGTTTAGGGTTTCCCTGTTTAAAAGTTTAAGGGCATGGGGATTGCCTAAAAATCCTCAAACTCTAAACCCTAAAACCCTGAAACACTAAGCTTAATACACCCTTAATACCTAAACCCCTATACCCTAAACCCCTAAACCCCTAAGCCCACTCCTGAAAGCTCTTGGGGCCTTGTAGACCCAAGATCCAAAAACCCGGAAGCACTAAACCTAAAAGAACCTCTAACACCTAAACCCCTAAAACAGCCTAAACCCTAAACCCTTAGAGGGGCCTTGTAGACCCAAGATCCAATAGAAGGATGCTCAAAGACAATCTGCGCTTCCTCCGTGACACCTCGGCATAGACGCAAGGGCTCCTCTACAGTTTCGTTAGGGTCTAGGGTTTAGGGTTTAGGAAGGGGCTCTTGCAACTTCCTTCAATGGTCTTGGGTTTAGGGTGCAGGTTTTAGGTGTAGGGCGGTTGACATGGGGGGTATCTTAAGTTAGAGGGGCATGGGGAACTGGCTTCGATGTCTGTCTTTGGACGGCATGTCTATTTTGCTGAAATGCGGATCCCAAAAATTACACCAAAAGCTCCACAATAGACCCCAAAAGGTTAAACCGTCAAGGAAGCCTTCAAAACTCCCACAGCCATAAATCCCAAAAGGCTAGACCGTCAAAGAATCCTTCAAAGAGCCCTTTAAGACCCTAAATGGCAGAATTTCTTGGCGCGGCACCAAGAGATGCCGGGCTATACTCAATGGTGATCTCGGTGGACTCCAAAGGCGGCAGAATGATCCGGTTGTTCATGACCTTGCAGATGCATGCGGGTGTCTGAACATCACATCTTGTCAGGCTCTACCAGCAGACTTCCCATAAGGGCTCTAGTAGGCTCTCAGGTTTAGGGTTTGGGCGAGGTTACTGAGGGCCTTCTTCTAGTGTCGCAGCAAAGGCCTGCAGAGAGTACCAAGCATCCCTGGGATGCTGCAGCCCTTCCAAAATTTCAAAATCGAAGCGCATGGCAATAATAGAGGCAACATTAATAATGGCAATGATGATGACAATGAGAACACATTGGCAGTGTTGATAATCATGGTAAATACCGTGGTCATGATGGTACAATTAATGTTCATGGCAATCTCGAAAAGCGATACTAGTAACAATCATGACAGCGACAATCACTATAATAACGTTCATACTGATAACCGTGTCAAGACTGAACATGATAACACTGGTAATCGAGATGCTAGTAACAATACTGATGATAACAATGACAATGATAGCAACAGCAATGATGAGAATGTGACAATCTTGACATTCAATGGTGACGGTGATACCCAAAACTGTTGCAATCACTGAAACAGCACGGCTAAGCCTTGAAATTGATCTTGTTCGTGGAGCGATGCTTCAGAGCCTCAGGAGGAGGTGTGTCTTCTTCCGTAGGTGTGCAAGAGGCGCGAAGTTTCGGGGTTTCGGGCCCTGGGGCCCTAAACCCGAACTTCTGTTCTAGACTTTAGCATGGTTTTACGCCTCAGAAGGTGGGATGAAGGTAGGTAGGATCAAGGATCCCTCATAGATGGACTCCTATTTTGGGGTTACACCACCTGCCCTCATCCCAGCCGTGGAGCCCGTTGAGATGTAGGGCGTGTGGGCGGGGGAGCGGGGGGGGTTCCTGCGCCTCTTGCTGGAGCCTTTCTCTGCGCCTGGGCCCGAAGCTCCATTTGCGCTGCTAGAGGCAGGTCCGTTCTGATTTGGTATTTCCCTCTGTCAAGGGTTTATTGTTTAGGGTTTCGGGGTTTAGGGAAGCCCCAAATAAGCCCCAGCCTCTAAACTCCCCCCCCCCCAAGAAGGGCAAAAGGGAACAAAGCCCCCAAAACCCCTAAACCAGAAGCCCGAATTCAAAGTGCTTCTGGGCTCTTGTCAACGAACTTACTTAATTATTAATACCATGCAAGGACCTATCGCAACAAACTAGGGTTCCTCATTGTGGCAACTGCAAACTTAAAGTCGAAACCCTAAACCCAAAACCCCGAAACCCTAAACCCTAAACCCTAAGCCCCTAAACCTTAAACCCATTCTTGGCTCCTGACCACCTCCTGGCCGGTGGGGTTGTCCACTTTCACCGTTGTCTGCGCCGTCCTGCGGCCCCGAAAGGGTTGAGACTTATCCTTTTGGGTTTAGGGCTTAGGGCCCTTAGGCCCTTAGGCCCTTAGGCCCTTAGGCCCTTAGGGTCTTAGGGTTTAGGCCCTTAGGGTCTTAGGGTTTAGGGCCTTAGGGTTTAGGGCCTTAGGGTTTAGGGTTCAGGGTTTAGCGTTTACTATCAGGTGGTGTTGGTGCTTAGGGCTTCGAGGGTGCTTTCAGGCATAAGGCTTTATGGTTTAAAGCTTCGGGTTTTCGGGTTGTGACTAGGATTGTGGCTGCGGCTGTGATGACTATTTGCACAATGGGGCTGACGGACCTATCCTGCTACAGGTATGGCGATTAGTTTATCGGCTTACCGTTGCTACAGGGAGCACGCCGATGGCAGTGGCAGGCAGTGTAGCAGTACTAGTCGTCGTCGTCGTCTTCGTTATGTCCAAATCCCTGAGCCCAAATTCCTGAAGCGAACATCTTAAACAAGACACCCTGATCTCTAAGCCCTACCTTAAACAAGCAACCCTGATATCTAAGCCCTCCCTTAAACAAGAAACCCTAATATTTAAGCCCTCCCTTAAACAAGAAACCCTGATATCTAAGCCCTACCCTAAACCCCGAGCTCGGTGCTTCTGTGGCCGAAGACTTAGGCCGTTGAAGCCCGAAAACCCTAAGTTTGTGGGCCTTAGGTTTTTTAGAGTTCAGGGTTTAGGGTTTAGGGCCCCTAAACCCTAAGCCCAAAGCCCTAAACCCCCTAGGCTACTAAGCACTAAACCCCAAACCCTAAGTCCAAAACCCTAAGCACTAAACCCCTAAGCCCTAGGCCTTCAACCCCCCTCAGCTACTAAGCACTAAACCCCAAACCCTAAGCCCAAAACCCTAAGCACTAAACCCCTAAGCCCTAGGCCCTCAACCCCCCTCAGCTACTAAGCCCTAAACCCTAAACCCTAAAACCCTAAACCCCTAAACCCCTAAGCCCTAAGCCCGAGGATTTCGCGATGCCCAAAACCCGGTCCTGCCCAGCTCGCACTGCATCAAAGGGATCTCTTCTGGAAGGGCCGCTTCGGCAATCAGGGACAGGTCGTACCAGAACTCGCCTGCCGCTTTAGGGGTTTAGGGGTTCAGGCTTTAGGGGGTTTAGGGGTTTAGGGGTTTTGGGGTTTAGGGGTTTAGGGGCTTAGGGGTTTAGGGGTTTGGGGCTCAAGGGCTAAAGGGTTTAAGGGATTTAGGGCTTCAGGGCTACTAACGGTGTGTGCTTTAGAATTTTGGGCGCACTACTTAGGGTTTAGGCCTTAAGGGTTTGAGGGTTTAGGGGGTTAGGGTTTAGGCTGTGGTTCGGGCTCGGGTTTCAGAGTTTTGGGGTCTAGCGCTTTTCGAGTTTTAGAGGTATAGTTGCTGTACGTTGGTATGCGCCACCAGAGCGATGGTGAGGCTCAGGCCGTGGGGAGGTGGCCCGAGATGCGCAACAGGACGAAGCTGCTACAGTATCAGATCACGCCACATCATGAGAACAAGGGTTTAGGTCACATCATGAGGAGATCAGATACACTACATGGAAGCCGTCTGCTCATCTTGTAGATGTCAGCACACATGTGCGCACAATGACATCTTGGTGAGACTTGATAACTATGAAATGGGGTAAGGATGTATGCTGTGCGATACCTGCACGCTCCGTCGCAGGCTATGGTTGGTTCCAATGCTTTTGCGCTTGCGCCATGGGAGTGAGCTGGTTTGGCAACGCAATGCTTGTACAAAGCAATTGTGCAGGAGGTTCGCTCGCCTTCGGCGCTCGGCCTCTGTCAGCACATGATGAGCGTTGCTTGGCCAGAGATGGGCCAGACCATTTTGACATAAAAGATCCAGCACGCAGGCTGAGGACCCAGAAGACACCCCTAGTCAACCCCAAGTCCCCACCCACAGGGTCGTGCCAACCGTGCTGGATCAGGTTTGCCAGGAGAAGCCTTCAAAGAAGAGCTTCGCTGACGCGTCCCGAAGAACCAAAACCTATGAATTGTGCAAGAGGTCCGGCTGAGTAGCCTCCCTATCTACGCTAATTGAATCTACAACACCCTGCACATCCTTGCTCTCCTAGGCGGCCTCTTTCACATCCAAGTTCACGATGTCCGGCTTCGACATCGAGGCATCTTCCTCCTCGTCCTCACCGGGAAGGCCGTCCAGCTGCTTCAGTTCGTCCTCGGTGAACATGAACCTCATGGCCTTGCGGATGATGGCCAGAGACGCCATGAAGAACGGGAACACCACAGACGTTTCCTTTATTGCCTTCAAGCCGTACAAAATGCCAAGACAGACGACCTGGACGACCGTGTACAGATGCACTCGGCTGATGGGAAGCTTCTGGACGTAGTGGTACTGCGGGTACTTGGCCGGGTCCCAGATGAGCCACAACTTCAGCCGGTCGAAGAGGTTGTTGCCGGTCA